ATGGGAGAAAGAAGGGCTGCTTATGCACAGGGAGACAGCTCAGGGGGCAGGAGTGCATGGAGGGATGGACACAGGGAAGAGGTAACTATCGGGAGGAAGTAGGAAGGGAGATGTTGCATTGTGGTAAATTGTGGTCAATGTCATGAGACAAAGTGTATGTGAACCACTGTATAGAAAGTGAATTTGCTCTGTAAATTTTCACCCAAATCACACACACAAAAAAAGGTGAATTATTGTAATGTTTACTGTAATGCACACCCAGCCTTTGTTGTTTTGTTGTTAATTGCTATCAAGTCAACTAGACCCATGATGATCTTATATAATAAAACAAAATGTTGCCCAGTCTTGTGCCATCTCCATGATAATTGGTATGTTGATATATAGTGGTTATTGTGTCAATCCATCTCATCGAGGGGTTCCCTCGTGATTAGTCTTTCCTGACAACATGTCGAAAGGAAGGGAGTCAAAGTCTCACCATTCTCACTTCTATGGAACATTCTGGTTGTATTTCTTCTAAGTCTTATTTGTTCATTCTTTTAGCCAATCCACAGTATATTCAGTATTCTCTCCTTTTTCATTGTTCATCTTTCGTATGCATATGAGTCAACTGAAAACACTACGGTCTGGGTCAGGCACACTTTAGTCATTATAGTCACATCTTTGTTTTTTTTGGCATTTTAAAGGAGTCCTTTACAATAGATCTTGACTGCTGCTTCCTTGGACATTGATTGTTCATCCAAGAAGACTGAAATCATCAACAACTTCAATTTCTTCTCCATTTATCATAATGTTATTTATCAGTCCAGTTCATACCCAGCCTTTACATAGCTTCTTGTCTTACAATCTCTGCTGTTGTTAGGGCAACTGTCACCATCACCTCTACATTTTCCAGAGACAAATTACAGGTCAGCCTGCCAAGGTCCTTAAGCAAATATCTACTTTCCTCCACCCCTTACCCCCCACTGGGAGGCTCCTTTGTTTAATGCCCCAGATTGGGATGGTGGTGGGGAGGCCCAGAAAGACATCCTGCAAGTAAGTCAACAAAGGCCTTGTTTCACTGCTTCTGTCTATGGAACTCAAGACAACCAAAATGCGATTTGATAAAAAGAAAAGCCAATTGTCTAAGAACATTCCACCAACAGATTCTTTATAAAGTTTTTTTGGGGAAAAAAAGAATCTGTCTCCTCCTTTTAATTGTTAATCTTCTAATGATAAGCAGATCCATCAATAACTATCAATGGTGCTTAAATAACTATCAATGGTGCTTAATCACCCAGCCAAGGAGTCTGGAGGCAGCTACAGCCTCTCTCTTGGTTATTGAGTGGAAGCTGGCTGTGATTGCAAATTATCTAATAAGTCATTTCAGTGATATGTTTCGGAGAGGTCCTGAGATGATTTCCAAAATTTGCCAAACAAGATTTCCTTCGTGAGTAAAAAAGTTAAATTCACAAAATTCTAATGAGTCTTCTCTTGTCCCCTAATGTTTTTCAAGGCAATGAGGTGATAGAAATTACTGGTATTTGAGATGAGAAAATAAAGAGATAAAAGAAGGTGTTATCTGACATTTGGGTGTGAAAATGATGCCCTGAGATTTTGCCAAGACCGATCATATAAGCAAACATAAAATGAAACTTTTCTAGATTATGAATCACAGAGTGGATACGCTTCTAGACCCTGTATTATGGTGGACAATTAGGCTTTTCATAGACCCTACGTGGTAGATTAATGACTGCTAACCAAAAGATTGGTGGTTTGAGTCTGCCCAGAATTTGAATCAACTCAATGGCAGTGAGTTTGGTTTGGCTTTTTGGAGAGGCACCTCAGTAAAAAGATCTGGTTATCTACTTCTGAAAAACCAGCCACTGAAAATCCTATGGACATGTTCTACTCTGACACACATGGATTTGCCAGGAATCAGAAGTCACCCAACAGCAACTAGTGTTTTGTCTTTTAAAATTATGACTTTTTCTATCCTGGAACTTCCTTCCAATGGGCACACATTTGTAAATTTTTCCTCCTTGAGCATTTCTCTTTGCACAATTACTATTGTATTACTGTGTTTCAATAAATAATACATGACAAAAAGCAAGTAAGTTACATTCCCTTCATTTTCAGAAGGAAGATGGGGCAAACTACTTCTGTAGTGATACTGCCTCGGAAACCCAAGGAGGGGTCTCTATGAGTCAGGTCCAACACAACGGCACATAACAACAGCAACAATACCCACTGAAATGTGGAAAAAGACATGGCGAAGCCAATGGCTGCATCTCTGACTAACTATTTTCCACTGTTTATCTTTATCAGCTTATGTTATTTTATACAAGACATCTTATAATACTTAAATATGTTATACAAAATTAATAACTTTTTGAAATTTCGAGAGATATTTTTTCCTTCTCCCTCTCTCAAAAAAGGGACCAAAAGAATAAACTGACAATTCACACACACGTCAAAGAAAAACATCCAATGTTTTTATGTAAAAGAAAAACCTGTTGTTTTTCTAGTAAAAATGAAAGAAAGCAAAAACCAACTAAATTGATATAGCTGGTGGTAAAATAATACCCATAGCCTACCTTCTAAATCACAAAGTAAACATGGATAGAATGGTATTTATGTTTACCAAAAGCAATTTATTTGTTTGTGCTAATTATCTACTGCTATGAAAACAAATTACTCCAGTGCACAGCTTTCCACTATTTTAGAATAACCTATACAAAAGTTCGGATTCTCCATCTGAATTTATGGAGAAGCTGCAGATTAAGGAATCCAGAAAAACAAGTAACCAAGAAATATTTATTTGCGGCTGTGAAATTCACTTTACAGTATTTTTACCTTCCTAATTCTGGTGGCACAGTGGTCAAAGCATGAAGCTACTAAGCAAAAGGTCAATGGTTCAAACCCACCAGCTGCTCCATGGGAAAAAAATGAAGCAGTTTGCTTCCATGAAGATTTATAGCCTTGGAAACCCTATGGGGCAGTTCTACTCTACCCAAAAGTGCTGCTATGAATCAGATTCGACTCAGTGGCAGTGGGTGATGGGTTTTTTTTTTTGGGTGGGGGGGTGTTTGTTAATAATGTTTAAACTTAGTATTATGTATTTTTGTTTTCAAAACCATTATTAAATATCAGGAGTAAAAGGAGGTGATCTAGAAGTATTGTCTGGGGATAAGAGATATACCACGGATAATTCCCAAAGTTGGTCTTCCAGAAATAAATAACTGAGAAATGACAACACAACATTTACAGAATAATCTTGGTTTAAAAAAAAAGAAGACAAAAAAAATCATACCAATCAGCTTGATATTATTGTCTTCATCTAGTAGCAAATTTTCTATCTTCAAGTCTCTGAAATAAAGAAAACCACATAGTATCTCAGATAAGCATTTAAAATAGTGGAATAACATTTTACTGAAGAGAAATGAACTGTTTTAGAACCACTTTGAACCAACAAAGAAAGCATTCTGCTGACACTCACTGAATCAACAAGTAAATATATATCAAATGTGAGAAAATCAACAGCCATTGACAAAAATGGTAAAGTATTTAGCAGAAGACAGAGGGCAGTGAGGGCAGAAGAAAGCAGGAAAACTTCTGAAAGAAGTAGGACTGAAGCTGGAACCTAGGTGTTAAATACAGCTAGAGTTAGAGTATAACGCATCATTTAAGAGGGGTACTGCCTGTGCATTAGGGAAACACGAATGTGGCCTTGTGTTTGTGAGACTGTGAGCAACACCAGCTGGAATAAGGAACAGTTCTGGGAAGCAGCTGAAGATATCTATTTTTAAATTAAATATTTGTTGTTGTTGGCTGCCATCAAGTCGGTTTCGACTCATAGTGACCCTGTGTGACAGAGTAGAATTGCCCTATAGGGTTTTCTTGGCTACAATCTTAAAGGAAGTAGTAGTTTGCCAGGTCTTTCTCCTATGGAGCTAATGGGTGGGTTCGAATCACCAATCTTTCAGTTAGCAGCCAAGCACTAAACTATTTGCACCACCAGTCGCTCCTTAAATAAGTTAAGTATACACATATATTTTTATAATAACTCTATAATAATTATTATAAATTATACAATATATAATTTTCTATAATTTATAATATGTTTTTGTTGTTGTTGTTATGTGCAGTCGAGTCGGCCCCGACTCATAGCGACCCCTCCTTGGGTTTCCGAGGCAGTATCACTATGGAAGTAGGATTGCCCAACCTTCCTTCCGAGGA